CTGGAGAACCCAGCCCAGAGGTGACAGCCAGCCAGACAGGGACTCCTGCCCTCCCAGCCCCTCAGCCCTCCTCCCACATGCCGGGCAGCTCAGCCAGGGACAGCCCTCGCTCACCCTCAGAGGCCTGCTGGGTCCTGGGCCCAAGGACTCCCGAAGTTCCGGCCAGGCGGGCTCTGTGTGTGCAAGAGTGGGCCTGCCTGTGCGTGCCTGGTCGTTCCTGGGCTAGTTTTGCAGACAGCCGGCCCTGTTCCCTGGGAGGTACTCGGGGCCCAGGTATGTTCTGCAGGCCTGTGATTTATATCTCTTATTTGTAAATCACTGCTCTGAGTGTGTATGTTTCGGAGTATAACTGAATCCTTCTGGAAGAGTAAGTTAGTGTGTGTGTGTGTGTGTGTGTGTGTGTGTGTGTGTGTGTGTGTGTGTGTGTGTGTGTGTGTGTGTGTGTGTGTGTGTGTGTGTCCAGCTCTGGTCTCTCCCGCTTCCTGCTCTCTCCCTCCCCACCCCCTGCAGCCCAGCCAACACATAACTTCCTGAAAGCACAGAAAGAGAGAAAAGTCACCCAGAATCCCCCGGGGCAGACACTTCCTTCCCGCCCCTGGGCTAAGATGAGGCCCAATTGCTGCAATTTCGGGTAGATGTGGAGGAAGCACCAACCCTGATGGCCCTTGTGCTGGCTCCTCCCTCTTCCACCCCCACAAGGAGGCTTAGAGAGGCTAGGAAAGAGGCTCTTAGAAGTGAGCAGGTTCTCCCCCAGTAATAAGTGATCTCCTACATGAAGACCAGAGATTGGTTAGGCTGCAAAGCAGTCAGCGCTCAGGACTGGCCCTTCAGTGTGACTCCAGCTAGCAGCTGCCCCCTCTGGGCAAATACTTCCTTTCTTGAGGTGTATCTCCAAGTATCCAAGTATCAGAGGAGGGAAGTAAGGCCCAGAGAAAGCTGAGAGAGGCTCTGTAGCATGACTCTGGAACCTTGGATCAGAAATGATACCTCTGCTGCTCAGACAGGCAAGTTCAGAGGGTTCATGTCTAGGACACTTAGAGCTGAGGAGACAGGATGAGGTCTGAATACCTGTCTCCTCTCTGCTGGGCTGGTTAACTTTGAGCAAGTTACTTAGCATCTCTGGACTCCTCAGCAAGTCCCCTTAGCACAGCTTAAATAATGGTAGTGTGGGGGTAAAGGGGGTCTTCCGAGGCCAGGAAGAATGGCAAACCCATCTCTGGGAGCCAGGCTCTTGCCAGGCCAGGAAAAAGGAAACCCTATCTTTGCTGGCTTGCTGATTTGCTTGTACCTTGCTCTGTAGGATCCTGTCTGAGCGTCATTCTTGCCTCTGGGGACTCTCCCTTCCTAAGGCATCTGGGTGACGGGGGTGAGAGGAGAAGAAGGTATCTGGGCTGGTGAGCAGAGCACCCTTTAACCCCAGGGCCCCGTGTGCTGAGGACCTCACCGAGTGCTGAGTCGCACGCACATACACCTCCATGCACGCAGTCAGCACTAAGCAGTACAAAAGCTCACGGGCAGCAGCCCTGGTTCACTCACACAACAAATACTGAGAATCTGTCAGGCAGCTGGCACTGATCCAGAGGTCGGGGATTCAACAACAAACAAAATCAACAGCCCTAGCAGGGGTGACTGGCCTTCCAGTGAGCTCCCTCTTGGCAGCACGTGCATGCACAGACACATACATACGTGCACACTGGCTCATGCCTGACTACACACAACACACATACCAACTCCTGCCCAAACAGCACATGCACACTCACAAGTTTACATGTGTGCTACTGGGGTCCCTGTAGCAGCAGTACACACAGGCACATATATGTGTGGACACAGGCCCAGAAGAACTCATGCTATGCACACTTCATGTCACCACTAAAAGTGCACAGATCCCCACACACCCATAGCTACAGGATCATGCATGGTGACCCTCAGAACCTGTATCAATGCTGATATACAGACGTCCAGTAACCTGACAGCTTTCACAGATGCACATATACACACCTATACATATGAATACATACAAACTGACCCAGCCATACCCCTACACAGACCCAAGATCCTGAGAGTACGCACACGCACACATAATGGTCCCCAAATCTCACTGAGGAGCCTGGTGACACAGGAGCTTGAAGAGCAAGGCAGAAATGCTCACTCGGGCACCACATAATCCCACAGGTAAGGCCCCAAGGTTGGGAATGAGTACCCCATCACTAATGGATGCAGAGAGAGGCAGAAGGCCATGTCAGGGGACTCTGAGGTGGGACCCTTGCACGGGCAGGGTGGGAGTAATCCACCATGCACTAAAGAGCTGGGTGTCACACGAAGGGGCTGGGAGAGGACAGGGTGGCCAAGCAGGCTCCACCTTGGCTCCCACCTTGATCACAAGGGCCAGGGCTTGGCACGTTACAAATCTGTGATACCCCATCTGAGGTAGCACCATCTGACCCCAGTAGCACATGTGTGTTTATTTTGCAGTACTGGGGGGTTGAACCCAGGGAGCGCAGAGCTACACCCTCAGCCCTTTTTAATTTTTTATTTTGAGACAGGGTCTCACTAAATTGACCAGGTGGGCCTTGCACCTTCAGTCTGCCTCCCTCTGTCTCCCTAGCAGCTGAGATTACAAATGTGAGCCACCGAGCCTAGCTCCTGTGAGTTTTTAGCACAGGACTTCAACGACTATGATGAGCTAAGGACTGCCAATGGCCAGGATCCCAACTGCTAAGACCCAGGGGCACAGGAAACCAGGCTCGATGGCTCAGACTCCCCACAACTCTACCTTAAGGACACATCCCAAATTGTAGTGAACACAGCTGGTGTTCTGTATCCATGAGTTCTACACCTGCAGATTCAATAAACCACAGATGGAAAATATTTGGGAAAAAACTGCATCTATATTGAACCTGTACAGACTCTTCTCCTTGTCCTTATTCCCTCAACAATGCAGTATAACAGCTATTTATAGTCTATTAGGTGAAATAAGTAATCTACACTTGATCTTAGCCAAAAGGCTGAGAAACGATTGAAATAAGTAATCTAGAAGTGATTTAAAATATAAAGGAGGATATGTGTAGGTTCTATGCAAATACTGCATCGTTTTGTGATCAGACCTTGAAACCAATCCCCCCTTGGATACTATGGGATGCTGTGATTTTCCACAAATTCTCTCAACATAGGATGAGTTTCGATCCTCTCTCTTCGAGAAGCCAGACTTCTTGCCACGGAGGCCCGACCTCCCCCACAGGTTGGCCAAATAGTGGCATCCAGACTGAGGCTCTGAGTGGGTTCTGGATAGGCCTCTCACTCCACCCTGTTAAGGACAGTCCCAGGAGGGTTACAGAGGGCTGTGGAAGGCCATGGAGGTGGAAAACGGGCCCAGAAGGTAGGAAGGAGGGAACCTTATTCCTTGCTTGTTTATACCTTGGTCTGGGCCTAGGATCCTGCCCCATCCTCATTCTTCCTGCCAGCATCCTCTGCAAGCCTCTCCCTCCCCAAGACCTCTGAGTGACACATCTTGGGTAGAAGGACAGACAGGAAGAATTTAGGGTGCTGGGTTCAGGGCCCATTAACTCTAGCTCAATGATGGGACTGAAGCAAATAGCAATTACTCCTGCTTACAGGAGAGGGGCCACTAGAGGGCACAATGGCACCGGGAAACTTCAATCTAGGTTGCGGGCCAGATTCCTCCCAGACCTTAGTACCTGTTCCCACTCCTGTGAGTCCACAAAAGGCATAAAATAAACACTTTCTGTGCTTCCACTGATCAAACCTCCCAACACCACAGTCCTCTCTTGGCCTTCAAGACCCTGTGACTTAATGCTCCTCCTTCTATAGGGGGAACCTCCCAATTTCTCCCACTATGGGGCCTAAATAAGTGCTTGGCATGAATACAGCCAGTGCACTGCTCTCTGCTCTAATCTTTGTTTCCCTGCTTGGAACCAGAGCATGAATCCCCCCAAAAAGCTTTCGTGGGGTTCAGCCAAGTATTGTAAATAAAATGCCCTATACCCTGTGCAGCAGTAACAGGATCCAGAGGCCTCTCCCTACATATTCCTTCCTCCTCCATGAAGCCTTCCCAGATTATCCTTACTTGGCCCAAGTACTCCATTAACCCCCTTCTCCCCAGGATGCATCCAGCCCTATCTGGGGATGCTCCCTCCTGCTGGGCACCTGAGCAAGGACAGGAAGAGGAGTCTCTATGAAGGATGAAAGGGAATGTCCACAGAAGCAGGAGGGAACCCAAGAAAACAAGGGAGACCAGGAGCCAGGGAGAAAACACAGCTCTGAAGAGGAGGGAGGGTGAGCAGGGTGAGGCTCGGAGGTGTCACCAGGTGACATTTATCGGGGTGGGGAGGGTGGGGTGAAGGCAGAGGCAAAGCTTCTGCTCCCCCACCTCACCCCTGCAAACATTACCTCCCGGTGCCAGAATATACCCAGATGCCCCCTGGCATCAAACACTCGCCGGGTCCCCCGCTCAAACTCACTTCTGTCCCTGAGCCCTGGGTCAGTGTCGGTACCACTGCCCGCCCGACCATCCAAAACAGAAGCCTTCCAGGCTTCCCCTGCCTTCTGCTCAGGTCCCGACGATTCTAGTCCTGTCTATTCTAGGTCCCATATCCGGCTCCAGTCAGCCTGCATCCAGCTCCAGCTGTCCCACTTGCTACCAGGTAATCAACACGGCCTCAGCAGTGTCCAGCCTGGCTCACTTGTCTCCGAGGCTCTGGCCCATCATCTCCCCAGCAGCTCATCATCCTTTTCCAGAAAGCTGCCTGGCTGCCCAGCCTGGGCCTCATGCATGTCCCGCCAGCAACATCCCCAACCTCACCCCACTCACCACCAACCCAGCGGTGCTACTGAGGATGCGTGGTGCATGTCCCTCCTCTGCACTCCGCACAAGCTGTACCTGCCCCGGAAGAACCTTTCTCACCCTGTGTAAAGGCCACAAATGCCCCATCCACTCACTAAGACCCTCTGCGTTCCACCCACCGTGGGTGGCATCCACTCACCTCACCAGCAGGCGTGAGGGTCCGATGCGAGGAGGCACAGGCGGAACACTCGGCTCCACCAAATGTCGCTTGGCGGGCAGTGGGGGCAGCACGGGGTCTGGAGCAGCTGTTGGTGAGGCGGTCACAGATGGGGTGGCCATGGATGGGACACCCATGGAAGGGACAGTGAAGCAGGCTGGAGGGTGGCAGCTCCTCCGGGGTGGGATGGGTGGGGCAGTGGGTAGCCCCTCGTCCTCTCCAGCCACCGGCAGGGGCTCCGGTGGAGTGGTGGGCGCAGGTGCTGAGCGGAAGACATGACGCTTCTTGGGTACAGGCCTTGGGGCAGGGCGGGGTGCAGGGATGGGGGGAGCGTGGGCGCGGAGCAGGCCGGCCAGGATGCGGCGGCGATGGCCAGGGAGTAGCATGCCCATGTCCACCAAGCGGGCATCGCTGAGGCCTTGGCAGTCAGTGGCCCACATCATTCCGTGCTGCTCGAAGAGCCCGCTGTACTGCTCCAGGTGCAACGCCTGCAGCCACTCAGCCACCGACAGTGCAGCGTCCCCACCCTCTGCCATGGTTCCCACCAGCAGGGTCCAGTCAGGCCTGGGATAGACAGATGGGCACAGGTCAGAGGCAATGGAGGCCCAGGAGCAGTTTCCCTGTTCACCATCCCTCCTCAGCTCTCCATGTTAGTGCCAATTATAACTCCCAAAAGATAATCCTGAATTATCAGGTCAAAATCCCTGAAGTTCCTACAATTACAATCCCAAAAGATGAAAGCTTGAATATTGAATCGTGAAAGCCAGACCCCCAAAACCCTTCTCATGCCATAGGTTCAAGTTTGACCCTTGAGCTTCCTCCTCTGGGTCCCACATGATAAACAAGGCCAAATACTGCCCAGCCTCTGAACATATAGGCTTCTCCCCCTGCCTGAAGCACCCCGATCCCATCACCACCCGACTCCTGCGGCCTCCCAGCTCACATCTCTTCTAGAAAACCCCCTAGATTATCTCTGGGGTCACATGGCCTACGGCATGACTGGTGCTGTGTTGGCCTCTCCTCCCTGCTGCCCTCCACAAGACCAGGCCATGGCCCAACACCCTGTATGATGCCAGTCCCCAGCTGAGGGCGCAGCTCAGGGGCTCAGCAAGCATTGTGGAACTGAGGGCATGACTGCCAGGCCCAGAAGTCATGCCCTCAGTTCCACAATGCTTGCTGAGAAGCCAGGCATGGTGTCTCAGCTACTTGGAAGGCTGAGGCTGGGAGATTGCAAGTTTATGGCCAGTCTGAACAAGTTAATGAGATACTGTCTCAAAATATAATTTAAAAAGGCACAAGGGATGGAGCCCAGTGGTAAAGTACCTGACAAGCATGTGCAAGGCTCTGGGTTCAATCCCCAGTACAATAATCCAAAAAATTAATATAATAGAAATTAGTATTTCTAGCCAGGCACAGTGGCACGTATTGATAATCCCAGAATTCGGGAAGCTGAGGCAGGAGGATTGCTGAGAGTTTGAGGTATAGCTATACTACATAGTGAGTTCAAGGCCAGCCTGAACTACATAGCAAGACTTTGTCTCAAAAAAATTTTGTTTTAATTTAAATTTTAGAGATGAGATTTTGGTTTGGTTTTGTTTTTTTTTTTTTGAGACAGGGTCTCACTATATAGTAGAGACTGACCTGGAACTCACTATGTAGCCCAGGCTGGTCTCAAACTCACAGCAATCCTCCTGCCTCAGCCTCCTGAGTGCTGGGATTATAGGCATGCGCCACCATGGCCAGCTTAATTTAAATTTTAAAAAATCAATATTTCTAAGCAGTAACATGGTAGAAACCAGGGTGAAAGACCTCATTTACAATAGCATCTCAGGGCTGGGGATTTAGCTCAGTGGCTCTGTGCCTGCCTTGCAAGCACAAGGTTTTGAGTTTAACCCCAAGTATTAAAAAAAAAAAAAAAAAAAGACTTCTTGAAAAAAACATATGATCTCAAACCAGGCACAGTGGCACATGCCTGTTATCCCAGCCCCTTAGGAGGCTGAGTCAGGAGAACCATGCATTCGAAACCAGCCTATACTACACAATGAGACCCAAAAGAGCAAAACAAAACAAACTACAAGGTCTTGGTAGGAGTTTAAATTTCCCATCAGAGAGAGGAAGAGAATGAGGAAGGAGGGAAGGGGAAGAAAAAGAAAGACATATGTAAGAGCTATATGAGAAAAACTTTAGTGTATTACTGAGGGACAAAAGCAAAACAAAACAAAACCTGGACAAGCCAGGCTTTGTGGCACATGCCTGTAATCCCAGTACTTGGGAGGCTGAGTCAAGAAGAACTCCACGGGTTTGAGGCCAACCTGGGCTACATAGTAAATTCAAGGCCAGCCTGAACTACATAGAGAGACCCTGTCTCAAAAAAACCAAATCCCTGGGCAAATAGGAAGATGCAGTAAATTCTAAGCACAGATATCATAAAAGGTATTCATTTCAAATTAATGTACACAAGTACACAGTCCTACTAAAAATACACATAGAATGTTTTTTAAGCTGCACAAGCTAATTTGAAACTTCACATGGAAAAATAAACAAGAAGAAGCTGGGCATGGCAGTGCAGGCCTGTGATCCCAGCACTCTGAGAAGCTGAGGCAGAAGGATCAGAGTCCAAGTTTAGCCTGGGAAATTCAGCCGTTTATCAAGGCCCTATCTCAAAATTTTTTAAAAAAAATTTAAAGGCTGGGATGTAGTTCAGTGTGAAGGTCTTGGGTTCAATCCTCAGTACAAAAATTAATTAAATAGGAACAGGCAAAAAATTCTGGGGGAAAGAAGGGAAGGAAGAAGTAGGAATCAGCTTCACCACATATTAAAACATGCAGGGTTACAAAAATTCAAACCATATATGATACTGGCATGTGAGCAAAGGCATCAATTAGGCAAAGTCCAAAAGGAGACCCAAGTACATATAAAAATTTAGTACATAACAGAAGGAGCATCTCAAACTTGTAGGGGAAAATAGATTATTAAATTGTCGGGAAAGCTACGGAGCAAATTAGAAAAAATGAAGGTGGACCCCTACCTCACACCTCACAGGATAAATTACAGATGGATCAAAGATTTCATTTTTTTTTTTTTTAATGAGAGGATCGAAAATCACCTCAGAGAGACAAAGGCCTTTTGGAAATGATATAAACCCAGAAGGTAACAGAAAAGACCAAAATACAGGGCGTGGTGATGCATGCCTGTAATCCCAGCACTTGGGAGGCTGAGGCCGGAGGATTGCTGTGAGTTCAAGGGTAGTCTGAACTACACAGCGAGACCCTGTCTCCCCAAAAAAAGAAAAAAGAAAAGACCAAACTATCCAACTACATCACATAACGATGCTTCGTTGGACCACAGATACAAGAACAGCCCCACGAGAGTACAACAGAGCTGAAAAGTCCTATTGCTGGTGACAACTGTGCAGCCAGCCTAACACTGCAGGACAGTGTACTCCTCACATGTCAGTGACAATGCCGGTATGAACAGACCTTTTGTGTTGCTAGCCGTATCAAAGTACAGCCCATATAATCATCTGGTACATAATACTTAGTAAAGATAATAAACGGCTATGATGTTAGTTTATGTATTTACTACACTATACTTTAAAAAATAAATTTTGGGGGCCAGGGATTTAGCTCAGTGGTGCCACTGCCTGCCTCGCAAGTGGAAGGTCCTGAGTTCAATACCTGATACCACAAAAACAAAAAACAAAAAAATAACCTTTTATCCTAGAGTGTACTCCCACATTGTAAAGCAGAATTCCAGGTCACATCAGCAGCAGCCTCATACGTCTGTTTACTGCATCTCTTGCTTGTATCAAGAAGCAGTGTGAAAAAGAGTATGGTCGTGCACCCTGTAATCCCAGCACTTGGGAAGCTGAGACAGGAGGATTACAAGTTCAGTGCCAGCCCAGGCTGTCTAGTGAGACCCTGCCTTAAAAGGGAAAAAAAGTGCCACATGGAAGGACTGACCTACACCATTGAGGATTGCGTAAGTATGCACTATGATGTTAACAAGATGACAAAATCACCAAATGATGTATTTTCCAGAATGCACCCCCACTGTTAAGTGCCATGCGACTGTCTACAAAGGAGTGATCAAAAATTACAGTGAATGTTAAAAAAATTTTTTTAACACGTTGCCAAGAATAATGAGATAAGTGTGCTCAAAGAAAGAGGGAGTATTTTGAATATTTTAACAGCAATGTGTTTTTTACTGTAATGAATTCTTTCAATTTAAACATTCTCTGTATGGTTTTGATCACTCCTCACTGATTAACCATTATAGTAATTTCTGTCAAATAGAAACATTACAGTGTGTCCTCATCCACCTTGCTCACTGGACCTGGCACCATGAGACTTCTAGCTCTTCCCCAAAGTCAAAATGACCATGAAAAATAAATGTTTTGTTTTTGTTTTATTTTTCTGTTGTTGTTTTTGGTACCAGGGATCAAATTCAGGCCCTTGCACTTGGAGAAACCACAGAGCTAAATCCCCCGCCCAAAGTAAATGTTTTGAATTGAATCAAGACATCGAGGCAGTCAGGGAGAGGACTTCCAGAACTGCAAAAATGATGGCTAAGTGTGTTCAAAGCAAGGGGAAGTATTTTGAAGGGGATTATGGCAAGATATCTTTTACTATAATAAGTTTCTTTTTTTAATTTAAACATTAACCAAAGAATCCCCTGCATGGTGGAAATCACCACAGGCCAAGCCAGAGATAAGGCAGAACCTAGGGATATCTCATATCTCACTAATTTCCCAAACAGAGGGCTCATTTCCAATAGCTGAAAAGCACCTAGAAATGAGAAACAACTTAGCAGAAAAACGAGCAAAAAATAAAAGCAGAGAAATACAGAAAGGATAATATAGCTTTAGGTATATGACAAGGTGCTTAACAAAATACAAAGGTAAAGTATAGGAAAATACTATTCTTTACCTATTAGATTATCAAAGAACAGAAAGTCTGGAAATACACAGCACCGGTCATGTGGCGGGAACCCCATCCCCAGTTGGTACGTGTCCTTCCAGGAAGGGCAGAGCCACAGGGGCAAGGCAAGCCATGAGCTGCCACCCTTTGCCTTGCCACCCTGGGTCAAATGCAGGCATTTATCCTGCAGTTTTGCTGATGCACATCCACAATGACATATAAGGAAGGTTACTGGCTACTGTGTCTTCCTTAATAACAAAAGACTGGAAATAACCAAAATGCCCATCAATCAGAGAGTGGTTAACTCAGTGACAGGGCAGTCACACCATGGAATGCAGAGTGGCCATAAAAGGGAGGAAACTCCTCACACATCGGCAGGGACGACTCTAAAATATACTGTTCATGAATCAAGAAAGGTACCGAACAGTATCATAACATTCTGCCTTTTGTGTGGAAAAAGAAAAAGGAGACCATGGATCAGTGTGCATCCACTGTCAAGGCGGTGAAGAAGGCAAGGCTACACCAGCCTCCCTGGGGGGACGAGGGAAGGGAGGCAGAGGCACTGATCACAAGCACAAGGCTTGAAGCTCTCACACTTCACTTTTGATGCTCCTTTTGAGAAAAAGAGCACAGGAATATCTTAGTTTTGCAAAATTCACAAAAACACATGACCACATGCACATACTATGCAGAACCTTCTCTGGATCCTAGAAGGAGATTTCAAACTCTAGCTTCCTAGAAAATCCATGCTGGCAGCGAAGGAGACTTCTCACTTATATCACCTAAATTTTGAAGAATGTCAATTTAAAATATAAGAATAATAAAATGGCTACTTCTGAGTCCCAAAGGATGATACAAATAAATAAATATATTCAATGTCCTTGGATACAGGGCTCTCAATAGTATAAAGACAGTTCTTCCAAGGTTAAACTGGAACTGAAATGTAATTTCCCAACTAAAATTATCAACTACATTTGGCTTAGACCTGCAGGTTGTAATGTCCACACTAACTGATACTAAAAATTTATTTCTAAAGTAAAAGCTAGTGATGGTGGTGTACCTGTAATCCCAAGTACGTGGGAGGCTGAGGCAGGAGGATCCAAAGTTCCGTCTGCCTGGGTAATTTAGTGAGATACTATCTCAAAATAAAATAAAAAAGGATAGGAATGCAGGTCAAGAGTAGAACGCTTGTAAGGTAGAGAACAGTGTTATGTAAGCATCTTGAGTTAAAAAAAAAAGCCAGATGTGGTGGCACATGCCTGTAATACCAGCACTTTGGGAGGCTAAGGCAGGAGGATCTTAAATTTTATCCCAGCCTGGGCAAGTTGGAAACTTAGTAACACTCTCTCTCAACAATAAATAAATGAATAAACAAACAAGTAAGTAAAAGACTGGGCTGTAGCTTAGTGCTGAGGCTATGGGTTCAATTTCAGTATGGGAAAGAAAGAGAGAAAACAAGAGGGAGAGATAGAGACAGAGAGGAAATATGTATACAGGTAAATATATGCACAGAACGCTCCAGATGGACACATAAGTCACTACCTTTGGGGCAGGGATTTGGCAGCTGGGAAGACAAGTGACACACTCTACCCTTCTATGTCTTTTAATTTTGCAATTTTTTCAAAATACAAGTAAATAAATAAAATTTATAAGCAAATGTAATTAATAGTCACAGATAGAACCTGGAAATGAGAGACCAAAACTCACCAGGCAAGAAGGGAACAGACATCAGCAGACACCCCCAATCCAGCCTGCTGGCCCTCTGTCCCCTCCCTCAGAGTCCTGTGGCCCACAACCTAGATTCCGAGAAAGGGGAAAATGGGAGCTCAGGTCTCTGTTCCCTGCCCACTCACCAGCTGGGCTGTCCAGGGCGCCGGCTCCTCCCAGAGGCTGCAGCTACTCTGAAAGACTTCTCTTCATAGCTGAGGCCAAAGCTGCAGGTCAGAAATGGGGAAAAGTCTGTAAGGCAAAGCCATTTTGAGCAGCCAGAAGAGAAAGGAAGGGAAGGGAGAGGGACAAGGACAGGTAAAAGAAAAGGAAAGGAAGAAAGCAGAGATGGGGAAGAGGTGGGGGAAGTGGAAGAGGAGGAACAGAGGATTGTCCAGGGATCCCGGAAGGCCAGCAGTGGAGTTAGAGGAAGTAGGCGGACAGGCTGTAAGACTTGAGTAAGCTAAAGTGACTCCATGCTAATAGGCCAGAGACTGTGCTTCTTCATACGCTAAGTGCTAAGTTGGCTAACAGCCCGCCCAGGAGCAAATGGTATAACAAAAGGTGACCGTAGAACATTTCCTGCGTAAGATAAGCAATGTGTTTGCAGTCTTGTCCTGTGAATGCCCTGACTTTTTGTTTTAAAAAACCCTATAAAAAGGACCTCAGCCCTTGAGCAGTTGCCTCTCTGAGCTACCTGGCTCCGGAGAGTGCCGTCTGGCCAGACTAATAAAGGTCTGTTTACAATCTAGCCTGGTGTGTTCCCTCCTGGGTTTCTTGTTTCTCCATCGAGATCCCAGAGCCTCGCTGGGTGTTAGGGCCCAGCATCGTGGAGGCCTTTTCGGCTGTTCACGCTCCGTGGAGTAAAAGTGAGACTTTACGTCTTACACAGGCCTGCAGGGAAGGCAGGGTTCCAGGGGCTGCGTGAGGGGCAGGAATGGCTGCAGGGGGAGGGGGTGGGGCAGAGAGGCAGCTCCCCCAGCGCGGTGATGGGCAGGAGAGGTGGGGCGAGAGGTGGGGAACGCCCGACTCAGGACTCTTCTGGGACTCTTCATCAGTAAACCTGATGCACGGCTCAGATCACTGGCAGAGAAGAAATTGAGGCAAGGGCATGAGACGGCAGGGGCCCTGTCTCTGAACCTGGTAGAGGTAAAGGAACACAGACCCAAAAGTGGGATTTCTGGGGGAGAATAAAGAACAGGACAATCCTCAGGGGCCCCCAGGCTCTGGGGTCAGGAGGAAAGCGGCACAGACAAGCCTTCTTCCGCTGGGCCTGGGAACCAAGGCAAACCTCCTACCCCCAGGCAGGGCTCACCCAAAAGTTGCTGCACTCTGCAAAATGGCTTTAGCAGGCCATAGGGTCATTTTACAGTGTACTTAAGTCATCTCCATAATTATGGTTGTTTATGGTAGGGTTTAAACAGGTTTATGTTTTCACAGTAATTTTAAAACAAATTTTAAGAAACTGGTACTTTGTTTTGGCTTTTTTTTTTTGGGTACCGGAAATTGAACTCGGGTCCTTGCACTTGCGAAGCAGGCACCAGAACCACTGAGCTAGATCCCCGGCCCAAGAAACTGGTACTTTGGATGAAAGTGTTAGCAAAATGGCAGTGCTACTCAAATGACAATTTAAAAAGAGATGACAAACTGTGTACATTACTCCAGCTATCTAAGCACTTTAACTTACTTAATCTTCTCCACAACCTTTAAGGAACATTGTGTTTAAGAGGATGAAACTAAGACACAAGGAGGTTAAAACTTGCCCAAAGTCACACAGCCAGGAAGGAGAAGTTCAAGTATAGTTTAGACCTGCTCTGCCCAATACAGTAGCCAGTCATAGCTACATACAACTTCTGAACACTTGAAACAGAACCCAGGATGGACTTTATAAAAACTTGACACACATACACACACACAAAAATTTAAAATCTCAATTTTTTTCTACTGCTTACTTACACTATGAATAATATTGTGAATGTTTAGATTTAAAATAATACTAAAATTGATTGCACCTGTTTTCTTTTTCTTTTGGGGGTGGAAAGGGGAGAGATATCAGGGTGGAACCCAGGGCCTCCTTCACACATACTAGGCAAGTGCTCTACCACCGAGCTCCACCTCCAGCCCCTGCACCTGTTTCCTTTCTACTCTTCTTTTTGAGCAGGGGCATGAGACAAGGCCTCACTATGTTCAAGGCCCAGGCTGGCCTTGAACTCACTATATACCCCAGGCTGGCCGGGAACTCACAGCAATCCTCCTGCCTCAGCCTCCCAAGTACTGGGATTACAGAACAGTACCACCATGCCTGGCTGACTGCACTTGTTGCTTTTCATGTGCCTAACAGCAAATTCTCATTGCATTTGTGGCTTGCACTGTATTTCTGTTGGGCAGCATGGCTCTCGACTCTCAACCACTCTGCTCACTACCTCTCAAAAGGGACAGCAAACATGAAGGAGTACCTGCTACAGGCCGGGCGCTGGGGTCAGGGTGTAACACAAGTAAAGTGACGATGGTCTCAATCACCCTATTCAAAGGCACTCCTCTCCCTGAGAAGAGCAGGGCCCTCATCGGCCATTCTCAAATTCCTATTCCTGTACTTAGGGGGCACTAGCCAAAGACAGAGACATGAGGACTCACACTGGCACCCTTTGGAACAGCCCTACCCAAGGAGCTGGAAGCATGAACCAGATGTCTCCAGGTACCTCAGGCAGGAGGGGATTGGTAACCATCATCTCGTGAGAAGAGCCCAGTGGACCTCAGGGGTCAGGGAGACTTCCTGGAAGAGTCAGCTCCTTGACAAAAGTCTAGAGCAGTGAGTGCCTTGCAGAGGTCAAGGACAAGATGACAGTATGGTGCTCTCCTCACTGAAAATTTTGCTATTTTATATTTTGTTCCCCATGGATTTTTTTGCATTCATTTTGATTTTTCAAAATGGCATTAAAATATTTATATCCCTTGATGACTGAGCTTTATGGTGCCCCCTTAAAGTGTGCACCCAAGGTGAGAGCCCCACTTGCTCCACCCTCATTCTGGTCTTGGTTTGAAGGCAGAAGCCCTGGCTGCTATCCTTGGCCAGAGTCCTCACCCTGAGCGAATCAGGGACCAGGAAGGCGGGGCGGGGGCAATGTCATCCTCTTGCAACAACTCAGCCACAGTTGGGGGTTCTCGTCCTGCACCCCAGGACCCAGTCAGTCTGCACACCCCGCCCATCACCGTGCTTTCCCCAAGATCCCACTTCTGCTCAAAGTCCTGTGGGGCCCTTGGACTCCTCAGCTGTCATCCAACCTGCTTGAGCTGAAGCTAACACTTCTAATGCTTACGGGTGAAGAAACAAACACCCACAGGGAGGAAGTGACTTGACAAAATTCTCAGTGACATACCCAGGCCTGGGCCAGGCTGGGTTGGCCCCATCCACAGCTCCAAGTCACTTCCTATAGCAAGCACTGGCCTGGCAGTGGGGGAGCCCCTGAAATCATCGGCTGACAATGAATAAGTAAACCACCTCCAGCCCGCTTCAGGCACCTGCTCCAAGCACCTCCTGCAGAAAGACCTCTGCAGTTCAGCCACGCAGCTCAGCACAGCTTCTGCTCTCTGCTGCCCTGTTTTGTTTTGTTTTTTTTCTCACTGAGTTTACTGGTACATTCTAGGTATACAGTACAGTTGCATTCATTATTGGGATCTTGGATCTTTACATGACAGGTCTTGGTTCTCATTTTTTCCCCTTGTCCCTGCCCTCCCTTTACCCTCTGCTGCCCTGTTTATGAGGCTTCACCTCCATCCAATCCCTAATATCACCTGGGGGTTCTGAGAGTTTGCACATCCCCTGCCCTCCACGATGGAGCCCAGGGCCTGGCTAGGCTCACAAGGGAGGTAAGTAAGCCAGCCAGTCCTTCTTCAGGTCTGGCTCAAGTTCCTCTTCCAGGCCAATGCTTTCATGCTTATAAAAACCATTTCAGTACCAAGCATAGTTTGGATCTCACTGTTCCATCTCTGTCCCAGCCCAGCATATCCCTCTTGGCATCTCTACCCACTAGTGACTGGGGACACCAATTTCACTGGCCCAGCCCAGAGCCTTAAGTGGCCCTGTGTGCCCAGCCCAGCAGATTTACACCTTCATCTCACTTGTAACTATCCCACGGCCCGGAATTTTACCTTTCATGTGTGTGAAACTTACCAAGTCTCCTGCAGGGGCATCAGAGGACATGGCTGCCTCTGTCCACCAAAGTCAAGGAGGTATCCAGCGAGCTCCTGACCGGCCCCAAAGAGCAAGCAGGAGACTGCAAAAGCAGATAGGAAGGATGCTGTTACTGGGAACCCGACTAAACTTTCGAGGCCCAAGGTAGGAAAGGACTGCTCATCTGGAGTTGGGAGAGATCAGTGAGGCAGGAACAAAGGGTACTGGAAGAGGGTGGTGACTCCACCAGCTACCTGCAGAGCCCACTGAACCATGTGGCTGTGCCCCCTCACTTCAGGCCTACCAAGCCTCCTTTGCATTCTGACTTGCATGTATGACTCAGCCCTGACAGCAGTCTCAGCATCCTAACTTCTTCCACACTCAGCTCTGGAGTCCTCTTGACCAGGATACCTCCTCAAGTCACACTGCTAGTACCCTCTCCGCACAGAACTTGCTCTGGGTTCAAGGAAAGACCCAGCCCTGATAGAAGTAGGAGAGGTGAAAAGTGGCCTAGGGGCTTCAGCCTGTCCTCCTTCTCCTCTTCCCCTGCACAGCCCACCTCCTACCTGGGTCCCAGCTTTCTACCACAGGCAGGCTGTTCTGGGACTCCAGGAAACCTCTGAGAGCTCACCACACAGAACAGAGAACATACACAGCCACCTGGGTCTACAAACCACACCCCACAGGTACCACAATGGCACACCTCACGCTACCTCAAGGACCGCCCACCTCCCACCCACCTAAGAGCCAAACAAGAGAGCCAGTCTCACACACACACAACCTTCAGGCCACAAGTCCCGGCCAACACCCAGCGGCATCCGACTGTCCTAGAACCCTGATGTGCCCCATACCCTCCACTGATCTCCAGGCCTGGCTGCCCAGGTGATACTTACAAGCAGGGCCACCCTCACAGGCATCCACTGCCTTCCTAGCATTCACAGAACTTGCTAGCCCAGGCTAACACAGGCACAAAGCCTTGGAGACACTTCCGGTAGTATGAGGAAGTAGGTGGGGGTAGGGCTCCACAGCCATGGGTGAAGAAGTGACACCACCCCCCCGCAAGGCCAACTCCTTTGGCTCTGTGTGCACCCTGGGGTGGGCATCTGGCTGGGCCAAGAAGCCTAGGTTCTGTCTCCTGCTACATACAAGTTGCAAAAAGATACATGGGGGTCTCCTGCCCTTCTCCCACCCTTTGTCCCTGCCCTGTACATTCTCCCTGGCTCTAGGAAGACCCTGCCCTGCCTCTCTGTGCTCTGGAGTGCTGGGGGGATGAGGAGAGTGTTCAAGGCCTGGGTGACTGTGCAGTGGCCTCGCTACCTGGTGGGAAGCTGGGGGCCTGTGGGTCCTTGGGTCCCTGGGTCCCACCCTGTCCCCACCCAGGATGTGAGGCCCCTCTAGATTCCAGACCCAGCTCTACCCTTTCTTGTCTTAAACCATCAGTGAGTCACATCACATCCTCCACAAAGTGAATACTTCAGTCCCGGCCACAATGCCCGGCACCCAGAAGACCATGACGCGTCACCACACGTGCACCAGAGGCCAGGCTTGCTCGCCCTCTGTCAAGGCAGGCACTTCCTTTCCCTCATCAAGGACTTGGCTAGTCCTAATCAGAGCAGCCCTGAGAGCTGGGCTTGTCGCATCTGGGGCTCTATTACCTCAGACCCCAATGACAACCTCATCCTACCTCATCCATGCCAGACCCTCCTGCAGCACCCGGGGGCGACACACACCCACTCTACACCAAACTCACCAGCTCCTCACCAGCAACCTCCTCTGAAAGAAGAGTTGTCCCCAAGTGAGGTGGGGCCTTTAAGCAAATCAGAAACTCCATAAAAGAGCACGATGCAGCTCCATTAGCAGAGAACAGGCTGGTTTCAGTCCTCCCTCTCTTAGCTCTCCCCACCCCAGGTCCTTCCACCAGGTACTTTTGGGCAGTGCACAACACGCACATCCACACAGAGAGACCAGGTGAGAAGTGTGACACTTTAACAGCCTTCTGATAGTAGCCTCACCAGCATCACCCTAATAAAATGCTAAGCCTCAGTTTTATTAATGATCAAGGAACCTCAAAGACTAAGGGACAGTGAACATCCTGGGCTTACCCCGCCCTCATCTCAAAAGACTTTCACTTTCTTAAATCTGTATTGCTAGAAGTGTTTACAATTGTGTATCACTATTACAATTAGGAGGAAAAATGATAAAAACATTTCAAATCATTGGAATTGAGTTTCCTGTAGCTTGTTCCCCAATACTATCATTATAAAGTAGCTTCATGATTTTAAACATACAATGCACAGATTACCAAGGAACATTTTCCCCACAAACCCTGACCTTCCGTCCTCACTGCCTTCTTCACTCCAGGCCCCTCAGCTTCCCTGGACCACTGGCCCTTGTCCCTGTACCCTGTCTTCCTCTCACCTGCTGCCAGCACACCCTTGAGCCTGTGGGAAAACCAGACACAGGGAGGGCTCTTCCCCTGACCCCGACCCTGTCCCTGAGCCTCCATGGCCTGACCCAAAGCCACCTCCCTGCTCCCAGCTCAGCACCCCTCAGGCCTCACTCAGGCCCTCCCAACAATAAAGTGACTAAGTCAGCCCACCCCTGTGGGGTTCCAGGGCACTGGCCTGGCCCCAGCCACTCAGTCACGGACACACTGCTGGGGCAGGGGACTTCCCGTGGCACCTCCTGCTACCACAAAGGCATATCCTGGGCAAGCAGAGGCTGGAGATGCCACAGGATGACGAGAGGAAGATCCTCTGGGAACCACCACCACCTAGGACCAGGAAGGGACTGTGAGCACTACAAATGAGACAGAGCAGGACAACACTGGCCAAAGGAGGGTGGGAGCACACAGGGTAACCACAGGACCACAGGCAGCTCAAGCAGAGCCAGGGTCCCAGATGCTTACATTGCTGGGACCCTCACTGTGCACCTGGACAGTGGAGGCCAGCACTGCCCTGGCACGAAGCAGGGAGCTGTGGGGACCCAGAAGCTCCTGCCTGTGACAGCAGGGACCTGGTAGGGTTCTCTGCTCCCCAGGACTAGGAGCCCAGGGGAACAGGGACCTGGACCTGCCCTCTCTCTAGGTGGTCCCTAGAATGGAGAAGCCAGAAAAACAAGCAGGACCCTTGCTACTGGTACCTGAAAGGGGAAGCTGCCACCATGGGGCAAGGGGACTGCTGGGCCGGAAGACAGAAAAGGACATGGGGGTCTAGTCCCACAGGCTTTGGCCTCCGATATGATGTGACTTCAGCTGCCCCCATTGTACTACAGACAAAAACACTGACTCGGTCTCCCTTCCAGCCCCTTATCCAGCAGGGCCACAGGACACATCCTAACCCACCCCGGTCAGCACTTCCCACTTACCAATTCCAAGGCATGCACAGGTGCATGCAAAGCTTCATACTCCTAACAATCTAGAAAGCAAGTGGCTCTAGTCCACTTCACAGATGAGCAAAATGAGGCTCAGAGAGGTTAAGTAACTCGCTCAAGGTCACCGATACCAGAATCCGAACCAAGGGCTCTCTGGGCCTTTCTACTCCATCACCTCAGGAGGAACAGCACAGAGACAGGCAGGGCCTTAGGAAGACAAAAGGAGGGCAGGTGGGTCAGGGAAAGGAAGAATGGAGGCAGGTTGAGAAGGGCCGTGAAGGCCATGTTAAGACACATTCATCCTTACTGTCCAGACAATAGGAAACCATGGAGTGCAGCAGGGTGCTCTGAGGACAGAATATTTGGCAACAGGCAGTAGGCACTCACTACTATGTAACAGGTCAGGATTCTTGGCCTTTGCTGCTTACCATCCTGAAGTCCCCCTCCTCCTCTGCCTCAAATCCTTCCCCAGGAAGCTTCCCAAACCATTGCAGGGATTCCTACTGCTGTGAGAACTGGAAATTCACAAACTTCCCTGAGTTTCAGTTTCCACATCCATATAATAGGAGGATAACAGTTTTGCCTTGTAGGCTGGAGAGAAATACACACCTTCAAAATTGATCCCAACCTGGATGGTGGCACACACCTATAATCCCAGCACTTGGGAGGCTGAGGCAGGAGAATCACTGTGAGTTCCAGGACAGCCTGGGCTACATAGTAAGGACCTGTCTTAAAAAAAAAAAAAAGAAAGCCAGGATTTAGCTCAGTGGTTTCAGCTCCTGCTTCAAAAGCACAAAGACCTGAGTTCAGTCTCTGGTACCAAAAAAAAAAAAAAAAAACCCCA